TGGCATAATAAGGGTAAATAAAATTCAATTTGGTGGCATGGGAGTAATTTGCGTTTCTTAAACTTATAACTATATTCACGAGGTATTATACATTATATAGAAGTCTCAAATGCAAGATAAATTACTCTTATATTCAAACGCTACCAAATGTTGATGTTCTGTTTGGCGTCACGTCACGGCTACTTTTCTTTTCACTTTCGTCCATCATTTCGGTATCCTTGTTTTAAAACCCTATACGAGATTCATTCCATCTAAAATAAATCATTCAAAGTTTGAAAAACCCTCGCGACTGTAAAATATATCTCGTAACCTGGATATTACTCTTTAATAAATATTGAAAACGTAATGGTCCGGTACTGTTGCTATGCAAACTAAATCGCATCATTTCGCTAAATCGGAATGACAATCATGCTGATTCGCTCCGATGTTAACGAAGATTTACCAAGATTAGTGGCATGCTTGCATCGTTGTGAAGCGATTATTCGGCCATTAAGGGTTTGAATAATGATAAGCATTAGAGAACTATAGACTTTGTGGACTTAACTGAGTATAAGCTTACTTGAAAAAGTTAATTTTGTCCTAGCACCAGCTCATTATGCAAGTAGATTTTCTCACTGGCATACTCATTTATCATCTATACACTGGTTACCTGAGACTGTGCTGGGTGATACAGTAATAATATTTAGTTGATGAATCGCAATAAAGACATTGGCGTTTAGATATTCGAAGATTTGACCGCCGTGGAAGGTTTCAATATGAATATATTAATGATAATGATGTAACCCGAGCCATATATCGTTGTGTGGATAAGAGGGATGTAGTCTAGTCTTCGGCTTTTCTACACGTTTGCGATATGAGGCTACAGTGCTACACTAATCGTAATATAAAGCTGAACTAAACAAACAGACTCGCTCTATAAGACCAATGAGACTAGGGTAAGTGGGCATTCGAATTTGGATTTATGGTCAGACTCGGCATCGGAGAAAATTTGAGATTTAAGTCATTAGACATACAAATCCAGATATCAGGATCATATCTACTCGAGTATTATCTCAAATATTTAGCTGTGGTGAATAGATCGTTGAATTTGGTTTGGATATTCAAAGTCATCATCTGTATAAGAATGAGCGCAAATGAATAACTAAATTCGGATCGAGTATAATAATCCCTCTTACTTTAATACCAACAATACAGCTTAGCTGGGAAGTTAATGACTTATAAATCGAAGATGTAGTAATACATATGGAGCTTAATCATCAAAAGCTATCCTCCAGCAAATGAAAGATTCTCGATGTTAGTTGCAATTGGAACAACCGTGACAATGAAGAATCTCTTTCGAGATGTCTCATCTTATAAGATTACCCAACAAACGCTACTTTCATCTTGCGAAGTGTGATTAGAGGAATAATGAATAGATAGGTGCAGTAGATATGAAGCTTTGCCTGTCTTTATAATGGTTTATATGACGTATATTGATACTTATAGTTAGTTGTACTTTTGACTTGGTGTTTTTCCTCATACATTTTATTCTTAGTCACGGTGCCCATCCAATCTTACTATAAGAGAGCCAGTTGGTCCATGAACGGGGTAGGGGCCTCATTTGATAATGGTTCTGTCAGATGCCTACATTGGTGCCCATCGATGTCTGATCTCAGATCTGATGTTGAGATAATATATTGGGGTTCGACGAAATGAGATAGAATGTTGATTAGACGATCGAACCTCATATTTTAAAATCGGTCTAGTAGACGCGGTATGCACTATACTGAAAGAGTGAAAATGCTGTGATTTGTGGAGTTGTAGACTAAAGCATGTATAAGGAGGGTATTATCATTATAGGTGCTTCAAATCCACTGTAATAGTTGCGGCTGGCCATGTGTAGTATAATATGAATCTCAGCCAGTGTTTGGAATTCATTAATATTACCATGATATATAAACGAGCAAGAATAAGATGCCCGAAATATACACTTGGAGTTATACTCAGTAGACTAAAGTGATATTCTGAGGGATATATATGACAATCGATTCAACGAAGTGGATTAAGCTACCGTCTTCTCTTTTATATGGCAATACGTCTCAAGCAATCTCGGACTTAGTACGTGCTGAAATTCAATGGATAGGTTGAGATTAAAGGGAAACTTAGATCGTGCCAGATGAGATCAAGAAAATCATCAAAACAGGTTCAATGGGTAAAATTTTTGTACAAGCTATAACAAATAGCTTCAAGTTGATCTCTATGAAAATTATCAAAACCATCCCACTAGCAATAATTTCAATTATCACTTGTATTCTAGCCATCACACCCTCTACATAATCACTCCGAGAGTCCAAGTACCTTCTTTCAGTCCGCTCTAATCATTATTAACCTTATCTTTGATTTCTATATTCAGCACTATAAAATCTAAAAGTTAGATTAGATATCCCCTTAGCCTGAGTGGATAATAATTAGATATTTACTATAAATATGCAATAACCTATATAAAATAAACTCCGAAATTAGAAAAAGCTATTATCTTTTAAAGATGATATTTTGATATTAGTTAATAGTATAGTAATACTATGGAGTAATCGTCTCAAAAGCGAGAATCCTTTTAAACCTATAAGATCTAACAACCTACTAAGTTTTTGATAATCTAAAAAATTAGACTTTTTACAAACACTAATCTAAATCAATTTACTAGTATTATTAGCATACTATTATTAAAAATTTGAGTTCAAGTTTAAAAGAATATCTCACCAGACTATCTCTCTATACTCGTAGACCATCTCAGATCATCTCAAATTAATTTTTTCCTCTCTAACACTCTACTCGTAACTCAATACTCCTTAACCATGACCCCCACCCAATACAACTGCCATGCCATTACTAGAATAATCAAATCTAACAAAAAGAAAAAAAGAAAAAAAGAAAAAAATCATTCCAACCTCCAAGTCTGAGCCTGAATCGGAGCGCGCAGAACAACTTCAACTTCAAGAGACATACATACCATTACCAGTACCAGTGCGGTACCTACCTATAATACACAAAGTGTAGCAAATCCGAGTCTACCTACCAAATACCCTGACACCGTGACATGGAAATGATCCTATCGAGTAGATTTAGATGGAGTTTACTAGTGATTAGGATCTGTCTGGGGAATAATATGAAATAAAATAAAATAAAAGCTTTAGAAAAGTTGGAAAGGGGGAATGGGGAATTGGGAATTGGGAATATTTTATATGTCATTTGTTGATTCATCCCATATTATCCCACCTCATCCCTCATCTCCCATCTATCCCATCTCCTATCCACCTCATCCCTTCTATACCATCCCATCCCATCCCATCCATCCCATTACTAGCAATTTACCACCAGATAACAATAACACAAGCCCCTAGTTCCACCACCAGATAACCAGACACCACCACCCAGATACCCCAACACTGCACTGATATCCATACCATCCCAAACCAATCCGAACCCCTAAATCCGAACCCCTAAGTCAAAAACCCCGAATCGAAAACCCTAATGCAACGCCAAAAAAAACCAGGACTCACTGAAGAAAAGAAGAAAAAAAGAAAAAAAGGGAAGAGAGAGAGCACTTACACTTACACTCACACCCACAATCGCAATCACAATCATAGAGATAAAACATCACTGGCACATAATATTATACTCTATATACAATCTACAACCTAATGATATCCACCTAATCACCTAACAACTATTCATCATCATCATCACCACCATCATCACCACCTACCATCCTCCTTCTTCTCCTCCTCTTCCTCACCCTTCTTTTCCTGCTCCTCCTCCTCCTCCTCCTCCACCATCACCACCATCTACCCTCCTCCAATACCCCCCTCGTAGCTTCCCCCTTCCTTCTCCTCGCTCTCCATTTCATTTTCCAGATATAGATTATTTCACTCCATATAAATAAATAAATATACTCATACACTTCTTTTCTTTTCATTTCTTTTATTTTCCATTGCGCCTATCCCATACCCATCCATTGCATAACCATTCCCATAAAGTAGCAATACTCCATACTCAATACCTCAATACTCGAGTACAATACTCAATACACGCGGCCCCCTCTCTCCCTCCCCCAAATAAAAAGGAAAAAACATCCTTGAATTAATTAAATTTAACTTCAAATACATACATACTCGAGTACATATATAATAACAAAATTACCCACCTATCCACCTATCCACCTTTCCACCTATCCACCATTCCCCCATCTCCCCCCTCTCTCCCTCCTCCTTTCCTCCCTCCCTTCCTGTCTATTTATACTCTCATACTCTCACACATCCTAAATCCTACATCCTACAACCTACTACAACCTACATCCTACAAACCCTTCATCCCTTCAGATCCAGTTCCGAAAACGCTAATACGTATCCATAGATCCATCATCATCATCCATATACCTTATATCCTCCGCCTTCCTCCCATCAAACTATCAATCAAATCAGATCCCCCTCAAAAACGCTAATACGTTCCGTTCCATACATAGATACCGATCCATCCAACCAACCACCAATTATAACCTCATCCCTCAACCCTCATCCCTCAACCCTCATCCCTCATCCCTCATCCCTCAACCCTCATCCCTCCCCAACTTTTTCGAAATTCCCTTCCTTATCCCCTTCCCGACCACCCACCCAAGAAAAAAATTAAAACAACCCGAGAAAAATAGAATAAAAGAAGAAGTAACACCCCCTAACCCCCCTTACCACCCCGCAAAACTCCAAACATTCTTGGTCCTATCTGCACTAGACGGACATAAAATAAATAAATAATACTACCAACAAGAAATCGACTTAAAAATCACAAATACAAACACAAACACCAATATCAGTGCAAAGCCTCGCCATAAGTCATGACACCACACCTTTACTTTTGCAAGTGCAAAAGTTAGGTGGAAGTATTTTGTTCCCTTCCACTTGTCTTGAAGAATATCATTCAGACAGTGTTGGGGATCCAGATCTCACAATTACGCATCGATCTTCAACTCATCTCAATCTTTCCATCTCGGCCAATAATCTCACAAATCTACTATGCAACTCGAGGAAAAAGTCCGGTAGACCGACAAGCTCCGCCAAGCCCCTACCCTTCAAGCTCGCACCCACCATTCTACTATCAGGTCCCCTATTACCTCCTCTCAGGAAAGAAGAAGTAGGTGTACTCGTCTGTCCAGTTGCAAAAGCACTACTACTATTACTGTTTACACTTCCATTTCTCTCATCACCTGGTCTCGGAGATTGAGGCGTTGATTCGGAACGTGCGAGTTCTTCGTCAGCAAGACGTGAGATCCAATCTGCGAGATCGCGAAAGGCGGCATCGAGGAAAGAGAAGGTGCGCATGGCCATACGTTCTTTGTGGGTGGAGAGAGCGATGAGAGCATAGACGCGACGACGACCTCGAGCGGTAGGGTCGGGGATGCGGAAGATGTAGGCGGTGGTATAGCCAGCCATTGGATCACCGAAGAAAATTGGTCCGCCGGATGAGGTGGTTGTGGAGGAGGTGAGGTGGGAGGAGAAACTGGATATGAATGGTGAAGCGGGGGTGATATTAGGTGATGTGTTTGAGGATGGTGGGAGGGTTTCACATGATAGGGTGCGGAGACAAGATTGACGGATAATGGAGAAGGAGGCAGATTTTAAAGGTTCGTGAGTTGACGTGTAGTCAACGAAATGATTGTGTGAGAGGAACTCCCTCGTGGTATAGGTAAGGGATTTATCGGAACCCTTTATAGAGGGTCTTCGCGACTCCACTTTGGGTTCTCGTTCTTCTTTCTGGATTGCGCATTCTGAATCTTCTGAATCGGAAGATGCGGACTTTGGAGGGGTACTTTGACCTGCAATGCGCTCATATGGTTTCCGTGTTCGCAAGATAGGACCGTTGTCGAGTTTGCCAGCTTCAGCAGGTTTGGGACTTGGTTTGGGACTTGAAGGTGCATCATCCTTCGTCTTCTTGGGCAAAGTAAGAGCGCAATTTTCGCATGGACCTGGCTTTTCGCTTGGATATGTTTTGCGAAAGCTCGAATCGCGTCGCAAGCGGTTTGTAGTATTTTGTGTATTTTGCAAGGCAGGTACTCTGGGACTTTGAGGAGGTGTCTCAATCGCAGAACCCGTTGTGTTTGGAGTATTCGAATCCACATGAAGAGCCGGTCGAATCGCAACAACCTTCGTACCCATTGTATTAGGAGTATTGGAATCCACATGAAGAGCTGGTCGAATCGAAACAACCTTCGTACCCGTTTTATTTGGCGTATTCGAATCCACACGAGTTGCCGGTTGAAACGGCGCCACCCTCGTAGCCTCAACTATAGAATTCGATTTAGGCGGAAGAGGAAGGCGCGCCGCCGTATTTGAAGAACGATCCTCGGATCTGAAGGATCTACTGATGCTGGGTCGTCGAGCGGTATATTCATCTTTTTCGGGACACGAAGTGCAACCCACGGGAAGGGCTTCTGTTACCATGACTGGGGTGGGACCATGAGTGTCGCAATAATGCGCGAGACATAACTATGATGGAAACACGAGGTTAGTACACGATTTCCATGATTGCCTTATCCAAACCAAACCACCCCAATTCCCAAACTATCGTGTTTTTTGCGAATCATTCGCATACAGTGATTCTGTTTGTTTGCCTTCAATGAGGCAAAGCGGGCGCAGAAAGTAGGAATGTAATGGAATGGCGGAGCAGGACAATGATGCCAAATGCGACAGACTATAATACTGGTAGAAATGAGGGTGTGATTGAATAATATATCTTACAATTAAAGCCATGATTATTAGATGTCCAATTCCCTCTTGCTTGCTTTCCTGATGGTTGGTTGCCAAATTATGGTATCGATCGTATCGGTATCTTCAAATGTCTTGGACTTTTTCTTTCTAATCCCAGTTGAATTGAGTGTAGCCGTCTCTTTCTGTGGGACAAAGTGGATTTATATCTTTTTCAGGGTCTCTCACGCCCTTTTGTTTGTTGCTCTGGTGAGTCTGGGTCGTATTATTTGTGTGTGTACCCAACCCAACCAGAATTGAAGGGGTACAATTGATCTTCTCGAACAGAAGCAAAAGCTCGAGGATTTGTTTTCTTTTCTTTTCGTATAAGTATTGAGATTGGATTTTTGGGGAAATAATTAATTAATTGTATGTACTGGATTGGAGGTAGACAGAAGAGAAAAAGTTTTTGAATTATAATTAGAAATAAGTAGAGTTGAGGTAGTATATGGAATAAACCCACAGATACCAAAGAATTTAAAGTGACCCTTAGATCAAACGAGAAGAGGTCGACGCTAGTTCCATAATAATAATTTAAAGATTAATATTAACTTTATTATCATAATGAAGTAATCAAATAGAAATATATATACTTAAGTATAGTAATAAGAAAGTCATAACACAGAATTAATGAACGGGTCATTATCATCATCATCATCGTCGACACACAATTCTCACCGCTTCAAAATATAATATAATCTCATCAACCAATCTCTCCTCTCAATAACTCGATTAATATCCATCACTCCAAGCCACAATATCAATAACAATATCATGTATATCGGAACAGTCCGGCTGACATCTCTCTCATATTAATTCCATTCTATTCTTTTCCAAACGGCAACTCCCTACTCCCTTCTCCCTTCTCCCTACTGGATATTATCCGCCCGTCCACTTGGCATTCTTGATGATTAGAGTTCCGCGTGGAAGTACATACAATGGTACAATGTCACAAAGTCTATTTCGTATTGGTCTCATATGTGATGTGATGTGATATGATACTAGGGGCTGAGACTGGGGGCTGATACGGAGGGTTAATACTGGGGTCCCCCAAATCGATGTCAGATTGTCAGATGGAAGGGAGGGGAGAAGCTTCCTAATACTCTTAGTTTTGAGCTAATATATCAAATATATCTCTTTATTTCCTCTCCATTTCAAGACAATAAATGTATGTATACATATTATTTAAATATTCGAATACATGTCCATACCCATCCCTCCATCCCTCCATCCATTCATCCACCTCCTCGACCCCTTCCCAAAACAAAAGTAAAACATCAGACGAAAACCCCCCTCCTCCCCGCCTAAGCCTAAAAAAATACAAAAACCCCCCCAATTCTCCTCTCCTCTTCTCTTATCGCCATGCATACCTAGTAACCATAACCCTAGTTCCTACCTAGTAGTCATACGTTACCCAGATCACTTACCAATAGTACCCATACCCATGCCATCATAGTATCATCGAGTAGTATACCGGTAGTATTGACTCGAGAAGTTTGAGGCAAACGCAAACCTTCGATAATAGATGGGTACTCTACTCGAGTATGATCACTACATATACATCGAATCACCACGTCAAATCACTACGTCAAATCACTACATTCAACACCACAGCTAATACAACAGCTATTACAACATACAAACCACATCCCATCACATCACATCACATCACATCCATTACATCACATTACATCCCGCTCACCACACCCATCACTTCCCTTTCCCCATTCCCATTCCCTTTCACATTCGGCCCCCCTCCCATTCACCCCCCTTCCCTCTCCATGGCCCCGGGATCTCATCCCATCCCATCCCAGCAAAATGCCATCCACATATCCATCCCCATCCATCCCCATCCAACCCCATACATCCAATTGAACCTCGTGTTCCCGTTTCCATTCCCATTCCCATTCCCGTTCCCGTTAATTTATTCAAACCCAACCCACCATTCCAATGTAACCTCGGAATTTCCACGAATACTGTACTCCGTCGTGAGATACATACTACTGTAGATACATGTGGCTGAGCTGTTATGTAGTACCAAGACAATATCAAGGGGAGCTCCTCTTCCTCAAAAAGGGAATATATTCGGCATTGTTCATATACATAACCAACCGACCGACATCATGTAAGGGGTTCTCCTGCACGTAAATGGTCGTGTTTCGAATCATCATATATCTTCTTATTACAATGCCGTATCACGGTATCACATGCAGATCATCATTAAAGAAATCGGAGTAGAAAGAAAGAATAAGATTGTCTGAAAAAGATGACGGCTATCGAGTCAATGCTCGATCCGAACTGAAATCAAGATCGTAGGTTCCTCCCTAAAGATTTTTTTTTTTGGTTTTTCGGTGACCCTCCTCATCCCAGGATGTCGTGCTTCTCACTTCGAAGAGTGTGAGAAGTGACCATCATTGCCATTGTAGAGCACTCCCAACAACGCCCTTTCATCATCCCCTTTTCTCATCAGTACCCGCCATGAGCCATTGTTGGTTGAACCACCTTTTGCCAACATTAGCCCAACAGAATCATTCACTCATTCGCCCACTCAACCACCACCCATCCACCAGACTCATGAACATGAGCTCTTCAAACGAAAAGAAAACAAATATACCCATCGCCCATTCAAGGAATGCCTTTACAGCAGAACCAGTCTAGACTTGAAAAGTAACTCCTGCGAGTACCTTCCTTGAACTCCCATGCGCCATGTCGTCACACCAGAGCGAATTCGCTGAACTTTTGCTATCCGCTACTACTCATGCGACCCAAAGTAGTTATCTGTCGAGAAAATGAAAGAGAGAGAAACGAAGGAGAAACGAGAGTCGTATGATACAAACACGAAAATTCAACGCCCAGCCGAAGAAATTCATGAGCCGAATCAAACGTTAAGTCGAGTAGCGGGATGCATCCAGAAACAGCTCAACGTCGAGAGCAATAAAATCCCGCAGCCATGTCCGTCGTAAAATCGAGTCTATCGCAAAAGAAATCGAAGGTAATATTTACAAATCTCCAAACATCGTCGTCACACGTAATGTGGTTGGGACACAAGGCTATTGTGCCGGTGGACCTTGGCCTCGACCTCCTCTCGAATTGTCGAAGCCGTTCTGTCGTGGTCCTTGACCACCTCCTCGACCGCCACCAAATCCGCCTCGGCCTCTAGAATAATTTGGACGTTGACCTTGAATTTGTCTGGGTCCTTGTCCTTGTCCTTGACTATGTATTTGACCAGAGCCGTTTGGGCGCCCATTATTAAAATTATTTTGTCCACCAGATCTCTGGTTTCCAGAATGCTGCGTGGGTTGTTGCTGATCGCGTCCTGACGGTTGACGGGCGTTAGTTTGGAAATTGGATACAGGACGTGGGATATTTTCGGGAGTTTCATAGACATAGAGGGATCTCTCAATGGTTTGGGGAATTGCTGCAATCTCTGTCCCAAGCTCCTGCTCGATATTGTACAGGTTAAAACGATCCTCCCAACTGATGAGGTTGATTGCGAGACCGAGATGTCCGAATCGGCCTGATCTACCAATACGATGGAGATAAGTTTCGGCGTTTTTAGGGAAATCGAAGTTGATAACAACGTTCACAGCTTGAATATCAATACCACGGGTGAGCAAGTCAGAGCAGACAAGATTGCGGCAAACACCATTTCGAAAGTCGTGGAATACACGATTTCGATTGGCCTGAATCATGCGGGCATGACTGTAGAAACATGAGTAGCCTAATTCGGTAATCTTCTTCGCAAGGAGTTCGACTCGATTGGTAGAGTTGCAAAAGATGATCGATTGATTGATTTGTAATTTGGAGAACAGAGTATTGAGGCAGTGAACTTTGTCCTTCTCTTCGACAAAAGCATAGTATTGGGTAATACCGCGCAGGGTGAGTTCATCCATAAGATTGATTTCGTAGGGACTGTTCATATTCTTGTCCGAGAAGTCTTTAACCGTCATCGGGAAAGTCGCGCTAAAGAGCATAATCTGTCGGTCCTTTGGATGAAATTGAAGTAGTTGTTCGATGACGATAGTAAATTCAGGTGAGAGGAGTTTGTCGGCTTCGTCCATGATAAACATTGAACATTCACTGAGATCGGCTACATTCTTTCCGGCCAAATCAAGAATTCTGCCAGGTGTGCCGACAATGATATGAACAGCTTCTGAGAGACGCATGATGTCATCTCGTAAGGTCGTACCTCCAGTAGTAACCATAACATTGACGCCAAGGTGTTGACCGAGAGTTTTACAGACTTGTGATGTTTGGAGAGCCAGTTCTCGAGTAGGTACCAAGATGAGACATTGAACCTTGTTGCTTTTTGGGTTGATGCGTTCGAGTGCAGGAATGGCGAAGGCGGCAGTTTTACCAGTACCATTCTTCGCTCTAGCCAATATGTCTCGCCCTGTAAGAGCTACGGGGATTGCCTCTTCTTGAATTGGCGATGGCTTTTCAAATCCAGCTTCGAAAATGCCCATTAACAGATCTCGCTTGATGGAGAATTCTTCGAACTCGAGACCTTTGGTAGCAGTAACATCCTAAATGACTTTGTTAGCTTCTTCAACGAAGTAAAAGAGAGCGAGATGCCTCGGTACCTCCGTCTGATGTCTTGTATCTTTCACTGGAATGTTTAAACCAGCTTTCCAATCTTCTGGGTTAGCATTATCACTATCCTTATATCAGCATCGATTGAAACACACAGGGCACGGTGAACATACTTGATCTGAGTAGCCGCTAGCTTAGTTGCCAGCGCATCAGCCATCGTATTTGTATATGTAGTATTTGCGGGAAGAGGATATCTTTAGAAAAATGTATGAGATGTAGTATTGAGGCGCAAAAACGAGGTCGCGTTCTATTGAAATTCGTCTTAGATCGTATGCGCTTGGTGTAGCATCAAGTGGGTATTACACTAGAGTAGGCCGATTGGAAGGAAGGACAGAGGTAATATCGTAATATCGAAGTGTGGGAAAAATACGTGGTGTTTCGAGTTGAGGGGTAGGTAGTTATCGAACTCTCCGAGGTTGTTGATTGATTGATTGATTGATTGATTGATTGATTGTTCTACTCCTAGTGATGTATTCGTAGTGGGGGTATTGTGAATTTTCTTGTCTGCGGAGTTGTGTGAATGTATCGAATTGAGTATTTTAATTGAAGATCTTGATTGTGTAGAGATCTAAAGAGTTGGTCGTGGAGTTTGTAGTTGGTGTTAATTCTGGGATCTTCAAGGGTTGAGGTGGTTTGTTGAAAGGAAGACTAGAAACTTAAAAGGTTTGGTGCCGAAAGTCTTCGGCAGGCGGCAGGCGGAAGGGCTAGTTTAATACAGTACACACGTGATGTATTTAGTTGGGGGCCAATAAGGGTGGTCAAGCAGTGGGTCAAGCACAGTCAAATTTATATTGGTTCCAAATAAAACCTGATTTCAACCCAATCTCCCCCTCTGCCATTGTGAATGAAGTAAATTCACTCAATACTATATAAAGGGATTCTTAGAGATACTATAGTATCGAAAATATTGAAACCATTGAAGACATTGAAACTATTGAAATTATTGAAATCATTAAACGATTCAAAATAACCTACTGAATATTGAATTATTGAAAACATTCAAATTGATTTGAATAAAATATTATAAAGGAATATAATCAAAAGATTTCGAGAGATATAAATGAATTTGAAATTATTAATTTAAAGTAAAAAAAAACTATATCAAATTAAATATTAACTTATTTATATTAGATTTAAAATATAATTTCAAATCTTAATATAAGATCTTAATTAATAGAGTTACTAGACGCTTTATATAAAGTAGAATTAGATAATACTAGTAATAAAGTATAATAATAGTCTAGTATTATTAATATATACTTTATCTTTAATAAGAGTATTAGTTATTATATATAACTAATTAATATAAATAGATCTTTTTAAAACTCTTCTAATATTCATTTTATAATTTAATATAAAAGATTTTATCTAATAATAGATCTTTTAAATTAAAATATCAATATCACGGGCTCACTACCCGTTCCTAGCTAGCTCGGATGAATACCTTAGGCATCCATCCACTATATTATTACTCCACGCGCCTTCTTCTCTCCTTATCAAATATTATACATCTTATCTAATTCCCTATCAGCACCCATATCAACCCTGTAATAATATATTTAACCCTTTAAAGGCCCTGTTATCAATAACAACCCGGTTTTGATTATATTTATTTATATACAACAACTTAACTTTGATAACTTTGATTTCGATTTCAATTTATACTATCACATAG